ATTTGATTTGATTTGATTTGATTTGATTTGATTTGATTTGATTTGATTTGATTTGATTTGATTCGATTTGATTTGATTTGATTTGATTTGATTTAATGCGTTGCGTTGTATTGCGTTGTATTGCGTTGCGATTCGTTGCGATTCGTTGCGTTATATTGCGTAGCACAATTCTCCATTCTCCATTCTCAATTCTCAATTCCCAATTCCCAATTCCCAATTCTCGATTCCCAATTCTCGATTTTCAACCATCGACCAAGAAAGAGGCAGAGATCGGTTAATCGCCTACATCACATGATTACATACTTCCATACTTCCATACTTCCATGATATAGTAACAAAGCGCTCATCTAAAGGTACTAGTAAGGGAGTAAATAGGTAGGTACTCCTCCTACTCCTCCTACTCTGTAGAAGAAGAGACTAATCTCCTCCCTCCTCCCTCCTCCCTCCCCCTTTTCCCTCCTCTCATGACTTAAAGTACCAGTAGCCAGCCAGCCAGCCCACTCGCTCGCTCGCTCGCTCGCTTACAGAATCCATGGACCTGGGCGTTGGGTTGTGCTGCTGCTGCTGTACTCTCTATGCTGCTCCTGTGCTCTCTATGCTCTATGCTGCTGTACCCTCTTCTCTATACTCACTAAGAGTCGGTGAGTGGTGAGTAATGAATAAGCAAGTCGGTGAGTAACCGAGTAAACGAATAGCTACGTACGTATAAGCCAGAGATCTAGATCCGTATACCTACGTAGCCAATAGCCGTAGCCGTGGCCGTGGCCGGGATTAAAACCTGCGTCGGGTGGAAAATGAGAGAGAGGGTAAGAAGGGTGGTACGGTGTAGCGCCGTGCAGCGCCGTGCAGCGTATAGGATGGAGTTTCTTGCGTCTGCGTTTGTGTTTGTGTTTGCGTTTGCGTTTATGGTAGTACCAGGATCTGGATTTATAGTCACAGTCACAGTCACAGTCACAGTCACAGTAATATCAATATCAATATCAATATCAATATCAATGAAAGCGGATCCCCATGATCGTGAGCTTGGTGATGCTTGGATGAGAGGATAGAAGAGGGAAAGAAGGAAATGATGAAATGATGAAATGATGAAAGAAGGAAAGAAGGAAAGAACCGCATCAGAGGACTCGTATGATCAGACTCGGGTCAGCCTGCATTCGACGGTAGGTACGTACGTAGTACGTAGTACGTAGTATGTCATGGCGAGCCCCTGCGGCAGGCAGGCAGGCAGGCAGGCAGGCAGGCAGGCATTGCCGTCGGATCGATCGGAACCGCTGTCTTGGGACGGGGCGACGGAGGGATTGGGATTGGGATTGGGATTAGGACTGGGACTGGACTGGACTGGAGGAGAGTACCGTAGAGCACGTAGAGCAGCGAGCGGTCTCTGTACTGTACCGGTACATCGTATGTTGCTTGCTGCCTTTCTCTAGGTGGGTGAATGGGTAGGTAGTAGTAGTATCTTGTAATAGTGGGATCAGGGTGATACGAGCGAGAGGGCAAGCCGGGTATCGTATGGGGTTCTTTAGAATATAGATGTAGGTACGTGTATGTGGATATGACGATGAGGGGTAAGAAAACAGGTAAGTATGGTGTGTATCGCGATGTTTTTGTTATGTGGTTTTCGTTGATATTTATTTTATATATATATATATATATTTACATCCATCTATCCATTCATTCATATACCCATCCATCCATCCACTTCAACCCAGTACCTACCAGCCTACCCACCTACCTATTCCCCCTCTTCCGTAGAAAAAAAAAAAAGAAAAAAGAAAAATGAAGAAAAAAAAAATCAACAAAAAAACAAAATACCAAAAAACAACAACAACAACAAAAAAAAAAAAAACACCCAACCGAGCTCCTGGGGTCAGAAGGGGGGCATCAGTCCGCCGTGCCGCGCCGCGGGTAGCCGGCGAGCGGAGAGGCCAAGTCCAGGCCCCCCCCGGCCCCAGAATGACAGTGCAGGAGGAGGAGGAGGAGGGAGGAGGAGGGAAGGCGAGATGGGGAAGCGTTTCAAGCGAAGGATGAAGCGCTGATCGGCTTGTTTTTTTGCTTTGGCGAGTGGGGATGGGCGATGCGGTGAGGATGAGAGTCGTCGGTTATACTACGTAGTACTACTAGCTTGCTCGTTGGTGGTGAGGGAGAGGAGGGACCCCCGGTTCATTTCATTTAATTCATTTATTGACTCGTGGTCTGTGTTGTGCGCCTGTCGAGGTCGAGGTCGAGGTTGAGGTTGAGGTTATGGTTATGGTCTGGTCTGGTCTGGTCATGGTCATGGTCATGGTCATGGTTATCCGTTAGAGCAGCGAGTTCTCGTAGATACTGTAGATACTGTAGAGACTGTAGATACTGTAGATACTGTAGGGTCTGTAGAGACTGTAGATACTGTAGATACTGTAGATACGATAGATACTATAGATACGATAGTTACGATAGATACTATAGATACGATAGTTACGATAGATACTATAGATACACCGACTTCTCCCAGTCCAAGCGCTGCCATTCAAAAAATTGATAAAAAAAAAAGAAAGGGAATCGCCCAGGCCCCTCGCAGCTCCTCCGTCCGCTGGCTCGGGGATTAGACTTCCTGTCCCTGTTCCCGGTCGCTTAGATTATGCAATAGGGGCCGTGGTCGCCCTTATCAAAGCTCTTGTCTGCCGCACCGACCGTCGCTCGTGGATGGATGGATGGGTACGGTACGGTACGGTAGTCTCCTGTCCTGTCCGGTCCTGTCCTCTCCTCTCCTCTCCTCTCCTGTCCTGTCGACACGGACAGCGGCGACCTGCGCGACGTGGAAAGTCTAATCCGGCCCAAGCTGTCGGGATTCTACAACTGGTTGTGCGTGCGTGGGAGTGCGGGGCGGGGTTTGATTGATGTCGCATACGCTGCACATGACGTCGTCGTACGTGTGGATTTCCCCCTCTCGCTTGGATGTCTGTGTGGATGTATGTGTGGATGTATGGATGGAGGATGTATGGATGGATGGATGTATTTGTATATATGATTCCCTTTGCCTCCGTCGCGAGCTTCTCTTCTCCTGGTCTTTGGTTCGCTCGCACTTCTCGTGGACTCGGGATTCTCGGGATAGGGATCGATCGATCGCTCGACGACTGGTCCTCCGTACACCGTCGCCGTCACCGTCCCCGTCACCGTCACCGTCACCGTCACCGTTCACCGAGCTGGTCGCACTAGACGATATCACATTCGCCCGCTGGGATCCCTGTCCTTGTCGGGATTCGGTGCAGGACCGTCTGGTTGGGATGGTGGGGGTGGATGGGTGGGTGGAGAGTGGGTGGGGAGTGGGTAGGGAGTGGGTGGGTGGATGGGTGGATGGGTGGGTGGGTAGGTACCACGGTACAGGCCTAAGTATTACCCCTCGAGGGTGCCTTAAAAGTTTAGTTTCCACTTTAAAACCCCTGTTTTCCCTACCCTCGAGGGGTAATACTTACGCCTGCGACGTAGTAAGATGAATGGGTGGATCATCAGAGAGATGAACGGGTGCTATGAAAGGATGTGCCCGGTCCTGCCCTGTCTTGCCCGGTTCTGCCCTGTCCTGCCCGGTCCTGCCCTGCCTTCTACCCTAGCTGGCCCGGTTCTATCCTGTCCTACCCTAGCCTGCCCGGTCCTGCCCTGCCGTGACTGTCCCTGGCCCTTGATTTGTCCCGATGGGTCGGAACACGGCCATAGGACATACGACGTCGGTCCAGCAGACACACCCGCATCCCATACAGACAGCACCACACACCCACATCTTCTGCACACACACCTGTACGGCCAGCTGGTACGAGCCAGCTGGCTGGGTCGGGGTCGGGGATGGGGTCGGGGTTGGGGTCGGGGTTGGGGTCGGGGGTCGACAGGGCCGGCCTTGGTTGGTTCGTTGGGGGGAGGCAGGTAGCTGGTAGTACTGCGACGTAGATTGCTGGTAGATCGATCGACTTTCTTTTCTTTTCTTTTCTTTTCTCCCCTTCTCTTCTCTTCTCTTCTCCCCTTCTGTTCTGATCGCCTTCTCGTCTCCTTCTTCTTCTGCTCCTTCTTCTGCTCCTTCTTCTCCTGTTTCTTCTCCTCCTTCCCGCCCTCCCGACCCTTCACCCTCCTCGTAACCGTCATCCATCCCCAACCCGACCACCCAATTACAGGGATACATCCACCAATAAATATATATATATATACACACACACACACAAAAACACACACACACATATATATATACACACACACACATCCCTCTTCAATGTTGGTGCCCTCTCTTCGCCATGCCCACGTCATGAACCATCTCGGGTCCGGCCTAAGTCTCCCCGTCCCTCCCCGTCCCTTCCCCCGTCTCTTCCCTTCTCTTCACAATGCATTGTGACCTTCTGCGTGATTTGATCGGCTAAATCTTCCGATCTAGCTTTCTTGGTCAGGATTTCCCAGAGACTGACTCCCTCCGCTCCAGAGCCGCATCTTGCCCTGTGCATCACCGATTCTTTCTCTTCCTCTTCTTCTTTTTCTACTCCTTCTTCACCGTCGTCTTCTCCGAACCGCTTCATAGACACACACACATACATACATATATACATACATACATATATACAATCCCGACAGCGCTCTTTCCTTGATCCCCCTTTCCCCTCCCCCTTCCCCCCTCCCCCTCCCCCCCCCCGCTTCCCGACTGCCGTTCATCTCAATAGTCGCGGCCATGACCAGCAATGGGTACGTGCCATTTCTCTTGTTCAGACTTCCGGCCAGGTCAAACCCTCTCCAAGCACAGCACAGCAGCACACACCCCTACCGTACCTGACCCTACCTCACTTGACCCAAACCCACCCTTCCCTCTGCTTTTCACAAAAGACGAAAAAAAAAAAGAAAAAGAAAAAAAAAAAAAAACCCTAACCCCCCCCCCCGCCACACTCATCCTCCTCGCTCTCATTTACACACCGTGGCATGCGCAGTGGGATCGGCACCGGCAGAGGCAGAAGGAAAAATTGCCCAGAAGCCCAACGACTGACCCAGCTAATATGCCCCGCGCCAGAACCCCCCTCGGTGCCCAGCAGCAGCAACAGCAGCAGCACCAACATCAGACGAACTTCCCGCCGCCGCCAAACTACCTCGAGCATGGCCGGCTGTACAGCGGCTTCCGCAAGGGCAAATACATGTTTCCTGTCGACGAGGTGCGTTCCCCCCTCCCCCTCCCGCTCGGACGGTGCAGTGCCGTGCCAGCTTGCCGGATCGGGCGCGGTGTTGCGAGACCCGACTGACAGGAGAACAACAGGCGGAAATGGATCGCATGGACATCTACCACAAGTTCTTCTCCGTCGCCCGCCGCGAGCAGCTGCATGCGAGAGCCTTCATACCGAATTACGACAAGGGACCGCGGATACTAGATCTGGGCTGCGGGACGGGCATCTGGGCCATTGACATGGCGGAGTAGGAAAACCCAAGAGAGAGAG